ATTAATTATCTGAATAAGAAAAATATGATAGAAATTTTTATAGTCTATATTTTGTTTTCTTAAATCTATAATGCGAAAATAAATTAAACAATCACATTACCTATATAATATATTACGTTTTTAAAATTAATTCTAAATTAATAAAATCTTTAAAACTTTCACATATAATATGTTTTGATTAATAGTTCAAATTTTTTGTTATAATAAGATACAAAATATTATAAACTTAATGAGTAAGTGTATCATTTAATATATATTCTGACTATATATGTATAGTGACGTTTAAATTTAAATATATATATATATCATCAAATACATAAATAATGTAATTTCAAATTTTTCACTGAAAAAGTATTAAAAATTAATACTTTAATTTCAAACTTTGAATTGATTTTTTTTAAATGATTTTGAATTACTATAAATATCTAACCTCTCGTATTGAAAATTATGTTATCAATTGTTTAAATTTTTTTTATAAAAATATACAAATGATAATAAAAATATAAGTATGAAGATTTATTTAATAGATATCAAATTTAAAATGTACTATATATATATATATATATATGTTAATAGCATTTATTGTTGGATTTACTTATATAAAGAGGCTGTAAATAAACGAGTATGTTTTTTTATTTATGTGTTTGCACCTAATTTAATATATATATATATATAATAGCTACTAATTTCTCATTTATTCAATATATATATATATATCTTATTTTATAATATTTTAAGCACACAAAATAAATAATAATTCGTAAACTAATTTTAATATATAATTCTCATCTTGCACAAACGTATGGGTCTTAACCTAATATTCTTATATTACAGTACATAACAACAAATAATCATTCACAGATTTCAGTTTAGATTATAAGTACATTGTTACATGTATAATTTATATAATTTAAGAAATATTATTCCTTTTTTAAATGAAGAATACAATTATAATTGATAAATAATTTAAAATCTGATTTCATTTTATAGAAATATGATTATTTTATTGAAAAAGAGAAACTAAATAAGAAAATAGTCAGAACCTAAATAATGTTTTGCCCAGCCCTAATCTCCGTAAGTGCTTACCATGAAAATGTCCATACTACCTAGGATAGCTAACGCTACCTTGCCTGAAGACTATACGACATTTAATATTTATCAAAATGGGTTTGGAAAAATAAATATTATTTATTATAATCATGTTGAGGTTTTAATTTGTTAACAGAGAAATAAAAATCAGAAGTAAATCATTTTAAAATAATAGGTAAAAAATTGGTAACCTTATATTATATGAGGACAGATAAAATTTATTAAAAACTTATCCAAGAAAAATATACTAGTCCATAAAAATAAGTAAAATAAACTGATAAAAATTTGTAATATTTTTAATTTATAATCTATGAAAATTGAAATTTCATTAAAATCTAGAAATTTAACACAGTAATAAACTTTCAAATAAACATGTAAATTTTTAATATATCCTTATGATATATAATATATTTTTAAGACCCGATGCTTGGTAGTAATAACACTTCTATCATATGTTGATAGATTACAAATATGACAAATTTTTATCTCTCAGAATGAGTTTATGGTAGTAATAACATAACAGTTTATGGATGTTGTTATTTGATTTATATATTTTGGAATATTTTTCAATATATTTGTGTTTATTTATGTGATCATGTGGTGACATTTCTTTGTTAATATAATTGACAACTACTTTCCCTAAAATTATCAAATAAAAAATAGTGTATTTTAATAACAATTTTTAGATATTAAAAAAATACCCCAGCATTGGATAAATAAATTTAGGGTTGGTAATATTTGAAATAAGAGTTTTTTTCAAATGACCCAAAATTTGTGGTCGAACACAAAATTAACTCCTTTTTTTATTTGCCACAAAAGTTTAAATAATCACAAAATTACCTTTTAAAAAACTAAATGGTTTTTACCTAAACACCCTTATATATGTTATTTATATACAAAATTATAATTGTCATCAATATCATTAACCAACATTGATAACCAAACCAAACTCCAAATGCATTTGAAATTGACTTCTACTTCTTCTTATCTCATTTTGTATTTTCAAATCATTCATATTGCATATCTTCTCATTTCATCATAAAAGCTCAAAAAATAGATTTCAAGACTATATTTTTTATAGAAATTACTCATCTGTAATTATTATTGTAAATAAAGAGAGAATATCCTTCATTAAAGTGCTTAGAGAAGGAAAGCATGAAATTTCACTAGATCCAAATGCAAATATTGTACTCGGTGTATTACAATTCAGGTAAATTAATTGGGGAGTAGATAATGTATTGTACTAATTTTAAATATAAATAGTGTTGGGTATGATACCCCCTTAATGTTGTGCTGAAATTTTTTTATTTATCGTGATAAATTAAATGGAAGAATGTGACCAACATTGAAGGGTTTTCAACAAATATTTTTGAACCTGATGATGTTTGAGAAATCGATGTTTTCAGAAAGAGGTATATCACTTCAATTTATAGAAAAGACTGAATAGGTGTGTATTGTTTTCTAAACTTTTCATTGTTATTTATTTCTATAAAATTGCAAACAAGGAGTTTTGAAGACAATTTTCACATGATTTGGTGTTTTTATTTTTACGGTATCTTAGTTGCTTTAATTATTATCAAGTAATAATTTTATTATAAATGTAATAATTTTGTTTCCTATGTTTTTGTAATTCCTAATAAATTTATAGAACTCGTTACTTATTCTCATAGATTTTTTGCATTAAATATACTTCAATGCACCAAGTGAATTACACTAATTTTTACATAAAAAAATTATATTATATAAATCTGCACATTATAGTAAGATATTTCGTTATATCTAATATTTGTGATTTATTGAATTTCTAATAGCTATAGATAATAGGTAATAATCTTTTAAGTCACTCATTCTGTGCAGAACACATGTTATCATCTAGTGATATTTTAAAAATTCAAATATGTTTTGTGTAGAATGATTATTTTGTGAATTTTTCTTATCAGTTTCCTGCTATTTTTTTCTTTGTGTAGAATGACCAAAATTATATAGAAATTTGATTTTTTTCTAGCAGATTTACAGTTGGTATTTTAAATAATTTCTAGTCATTATTAATTAATGTATAGATATTAAAAATATTTTTATATATAAAAAGGTTCCAAAATTAATATTTTAATTTTGAATCCAAGTAAAGAAATGAGACTTTAGATATCTCAAATTTTTGAATCGGACTAAATTGATATAGGATCGGATCATAGATTCTGAATATTTTGTCCATCTTTACCACTAGGACACTTGTCATTATTACGATAATGAAAATCTTCTCCAAAGACAATTCCCAAGAAAGTGAGTATCATTATTACAGGCCACATTGTTCAACGGTTGTATGATTTTTTGCAATCATTTTGGCAGTTTTTTGGAAAATGTGATTTGTTTTTTAGTAGCAGGAATATGTGATTAAGTCCTTTTTTTAGCTCAACATGTGAACAAGTTGAGGGGAAGGACAGATTATTTTCGTAACGCAGAACTTAAGAGGCAATACTTTTTTTTCTTACGCCAAGAGGCAATACTTTTTTTTTTCTTACGCCAAGAGGCAATACTTTAGAAAACAAGTTATAACTTACAAAACTATTGACCGGGTGATTGTGGTGAAGTGGTAAAGATGAGGGACTGTGACACTAACATGTTTCAGTTTCAATCTATTTGCTATGTGAAACTAAATCACAATTATTCATGGTCATTTAACACGAATATGAACTAATGTTTTCGAGCTCATTTGAATATTCGGAGAGATGGTCTATCCTTGAGCTGCACCTTCGTTTAAAAATTAGTCTGGGTTTTTTCATATGCTTGAAAAATCTCCCGATTAATTAAAAAAAAAAACTTACAAGACTATTGAAAATTTGAAATACCCAAATTTTGGGCTATATAGCGATTTTATGTAAGTTTCTATAAAAGAGAAACTGAATTATGAAATAGTCATATATTTTTCTTCTTTTGCATATTAGAACTAATTAAAGATTACATGTGATCAACTTGAAATGACCCAAGCAATTATGTTAGAGATCTCTAGTTAGAGTGACCAATAAGACGACACTTACATAACATGTTTTGGTTTTTAGACCAGGAGGATTACAGGTTTCGATTTCAAACCTTCTACTATTCAAAAAAAAAAAAAAATTACATGTGATCCATAATGTTTAGGCCAGGGTTGAGTCTTTCTGCTGTGCTTTTGACCATGAACTAGATTTTGACCCGCCCTCTTGAGGGCGGGTATACTTTATGTTTTTAAACTTTTTACCTAATATAATTGATATGTTTGTGTGTTTGTATAATCATATTTTTGCGCTGCTATTTTTTTGTCTCAATTTGAAACGTAAGTTATGAAATTAAAGTCAGTCGGCAGTTTTAGTTATTTAAAAAGTGATATCAGCCACTTAGGAGTTTACAATCAAAATTAGTCAATATGAATCCAGCGTACAAATTAGTTATTGTTATATAGTTTAATAAATATATTTAAAAGTAAGTTATAAATCACATGACTCATTTTTGTTATTTTAAATATAACTAAATTTTTGAAGACTCTAAATAATTCTGACCTGTATTATGATTTTGTTTATTTAACCCGTCGTTAAATTTATTTCATACTGATTTTATTTTTAATATTTTTATTTAAATAAAATATTTCATATTTTACCCGCTTTGTATTGATAAAATTCATTTTTGTGTGTTTTTAAAAAAACTTCTGCTATTTTATTAAATTTAGTGTGTATGAATTAATTTTTTATTTTAATGGAACTATTTTTAAGAATTTGAAACACCAGACCCGCATTTTAATCAGTTGTTAATTAACTTGATTTTGTTTTAGTGATTTATTTTAACAGATATTAAATTAATTTACCTTATTATATATTTGTAGCCAATTTAAATGTTTTTACTATTCACATAGTTATTTAACTTACAAAAATATATTTTATATGGTCCAGATTATTTGGAAACAAATTGGAAAAACAAAAGTAACATATTTTTAGTTGTCTCCTACATATTCACATCTTTATTTAAATGTTTTTTAATGTTTAATTAATTAAGATATATTAATATTATTATTAGAGTAGTGACTCCCGATTGCTAGCCGTGATAATGCGGTATTTAGATTACAAAATTTAATTTTTTGCCGTTATTATATAAAAAGTAATACAGTTATCATATTAAAAAGTATTTTTTGTTAAAAAAAAATAGTTGAACACAACTTTTTATCAATTGGTCATTTTGCAGAAGTAATAGAATAGATATAATACATTTTAGAAATAACTGCAACATCTTGAAACAGGGAAGAAGAATAGAGAATGGGGTGTATCTTGGTCCAATAGGAACTTTAACATTTGAAGGAAAGTTTTCATGGAAGAACCGTATCTTAGCCTTCATCTTCGAACGGATACGCATAAAGATTGGACCATTAGATCCTATAAAGATCGGTTTAGGAAAGAAAGAAGCAGAGGAAGAGCCGAGTAACAAAGACCCTTTCTTCATTTGGTTTTATGTCGATGAAGAAGCTGTTGCTCATGGAAGAAGCGATGGTACAGCTTTCTGGTATCGTTGTCACCGCATTGCTTCATGATGATGATCACTCTTCTTCTTCTTCTCAAAAAATACTTCCCTAAGGAAAAAACTTTGCATGTTTGACTGAATGATACAATATGAGTTTAAGGTTGTAGTAGTAAAACAAATCGGTTGAACCGGGTTTGGTACAAACTGGATAGTGTTTATTTCGAACCAAACGATGTCGTTACTGGTGTGTGTATTTTTACCTTTATTAGACCTAGCTAAAAATCCGAATCCAATCTAAAAATAGTACCGAACTTAAACTAACTTTGTTAAATATCCAAACAGAATTATAGTAGAAAACCGAAACCGATTTCCGAATTGAAATATTTAAGGTATCTGAATCAGATTTAAATCCCTTATATATTTTGTAATAAATGCGTTTACAATGTAATTGACACATGTTGGTTTCACAATTATTTGACAATTAATGCGTTCACACACTAATTTTTTTAATTCATTATTTAATGTATTTATGTACTATTTTTAATTAATTCATTTTTCCTACATTTTAGCATTTTATTAATAAATTAAAACTTTCTACGTGAAACTACTGAATAATATCTTTATTGTAAAAAATTACAAAATCATTAAGTATCGCATCAATTAAAATGCTGCGATGAAAATGTTTGTAAAAATTGAAAATTTCATATTTTGCCGAAATTGGTCATGGTTTAGGCTTCGGTACACAATAACAACAAATATGGTGACTGATTATGAATTAAAGAAACTAAGGTGGAAAACACCAGACGTCGGATCTTTAGTTTAGTCAAATATTAACAGTTTTATAAAGTTTTAATATCAAACCAATAATTAGAAACAAAATCAAATTGGTAGAAGAAAATCAGGAATAAAAAAGCTTTAAAAAGAAATAAAAATCACAAAATCAATTAAAAAAAGAATTCAGTTACCAGGTGAAGATGTCATTTTGTAATATATATTATTTTTATTGTTTACGGATACAATTTTATTTTCTTCATAGGAAAAATGTTATTAGTTTCTAGGTTTGTTTATTTTTACTTAATTTTATTTAAGAATTTACTACCATGTGTTATTTTGAAAAAAATATTTTAAATCTTAATTAACGGCATATTCATATATTTATCATCACATTTATATACTTTTACATATACATACATGTAGACATTAACATAGGCGACTATATAACTAAATATTCACCACAAGTGAGAATTTTAATTCTTATTTAAGTTTTTTTTAATGTTTTCTTTCACTATCGTTCAAAATGTAGTGAAATATTTTGTGTTAATAATTTTCTTTTCTTTTTTCTTCAAATATTATTTAGATTTTATTTGATTTTACATGTCTTTAGAAAAAAAATTAGTTCGACATCAAAAATGTCTAAAATTTATATAAAACGAAACCAAACAAATAAAAATAGTTTTTGGTTACCATCGAAAAAATAAAAACATCAAACATTTAAACCAAACAAACCAAAATAAATATAGATTTAGAATGATCGTTATATTTTAGAACATTAAAAAACAACGTAAAACTGAACCAATATCCATGTTATACAGACATAATATCATTTTTATCTTAAATGTAACAAAAATAATAATCTCATTGCACACAAGGCGCGGTTTATTACCTAGTACTTAGATATAGTAGCTATTTTCGATTTAATATTCAATAAAATATCTAAAATATACGAAATATTTTAAAGTTTTCCAAGAAAAAATACACAAATAGTAAAAAGTAAATTTTTGAATTAGCTAAATAATAAAACATAAAAATACGTAAAATATCTATATTGATGCTTTAATCCAAATATTCAATTTAAATAAATTTTATATTATTTTTTTCTATTATGACATACATTGCTTAAACTTATATGCAATATATTATTTTTCTTTTTAGATTTTGAGAATTTAAAATATATTAAAATTGTGAAAATAATTTAAACGGATTATCCAAAACCTAAACCAAATCCACAAGGATCCTAATCGAACCCGAACTGAAATTTATAAATATCCTAATGTAGCTAAAATTTGTAAACTCGAAACTGAAAATAGATCCGAACTAATCCAAATGGGTATCCGAACCTCCAGCTCCTTTATTAATTACTAAATATTGACCTTGAAAGGGCGGGTATATTTTTTTGTTTGACTTTTTGAGAATTTTAATTTTTATATTTATATTTTTTGTAATCATAATTTTGTGTTTAATAATTTATCAATAATATAAACAATTTAGTGTTATTAATATAAATTATTAATACATGGATAATAAATAGTTAGACCATATATTTATTAACTGATCATGATCATATTTTTAATATAAATAAAAGGTATAATTAGGGCTGGCTAAAAATCCGAACCCAAAAAACTAAACCGAATCCGATCCAAAAAATAATACTAAATCTAAACGGATATTGTTACGGGTTTAAAATTTTGTTATCTAGGAAAATGAACTCGATCTGAACCGAAATACTTCGGATATCCGAATAAATCTAAATCAGATTTATATATTTGAGTATATTAGTTATTTTAAGATGTAACATATAAAAAGTATCAAAAATATATAAGATATTTTGAAGTTGTCCAAATATATTTCAAAATATATACAAATAGTCAAAAGTAAATATTTAAAGTAGTTAAAAATACTCAAAACACTGTCAATACTTAAAAAATCTATTGATCCTCCATCCAAATATCCAAGTTAAACCAAATTTTATGTTAAGTTAAGATATTTTGGTATATATAAAATTTATATGTTATATATCACTTTTATTTTTCAGAATTTTAAAATTTAAAATATTTATGAATTTTACATTTTAAAAAATAATTTAAATGGGTTATACGAAACCGAACCGAACTCGCAAAGATCCAAACTGAACCCAAACCAAAATTTATAAATACTCGAATGGGGCTGAAATCTCTAACCTCGAAAATCTAAAACACGAATAAATCTAAATTGAACCTGAATAGATACCCGAACGTCTATATCTAGGTAAAATGATCGTTTATTATTAATGAAATGTTTGTTTCTTTTCTTTTTTGGGACTCAAGTAGTTAATTAATTATGTTTTATTTAAAAGTGTAGATTGTAATGCTCGGTTGAAATATTTTTATGTGAAAAATAAAAGATAATTTTTATACGGACATCTACTCTATTAAAATAGAGTCCTATTTGAATTTACCATGGCATGTTTTAATTTGCACCCATTGAATATGTTGTGCCTACATATAAATATACGCTTCTTATACAATTTTACTAGGTGTTTTGTCCGCACATGCGGGCTTAATTATCTTTTAAAAATCATCATAATAAATAATTATTTGCAACCAAAAAATTTGACCGAAAACATTAAACTTTTCTACATGATAAAGTTATTCATAAATTAAAAAAACTATTTTTTTTTCCTTTAAAGCTTTGAAAAAATCTAAAGTCTATTTCATTTCTTCTTAATTGATAAAAAATATAGAAATCTATCTTTCCATTTGAAAAATTGAATCGATAAATATACATTCAAAAATTAATAGTACAAAAAGAATAGTATTAATTTAGATAATAATACAATATATTTGAATTTATTTTTATCAAACACGTATTTTCTTTCTTTTTAATGATCCTTTATTTATATGATTAATTCATGTTTAAGGTTTAACTATATAAAATAGAAATATTAATTTAATTTAACGTGTGAGTTCAGAAAAATAACTTCACAAATATACACAAATAATTTCGTATTATATTTTTTTCAATTTTCTCTTTTGAATTATATAGAATTAAAATTTTTATTTTATGAATACTTATTTATGTGTTTTTTGAATTTTTTTAATTAAATATATTTTCCGGATAACAACACAATATATATAAGAATTATCTTTTTCTTTTAAATATATATTTAGATTATGGATAATTCTTATCATTATTATAATTTAAATCATTTATCTAATCAAATAAGTATTAAATTCGTTTTTATTTTTGGCTAATTTATATATATTTATTCATTAAAGGTATAATCGATATTAACCACTCCAACTTTTAACGTGAGAGCTCTGTTTCGAAAAACCATTTCGCAAATAATAATTTTGTATTATATTTTTTCGAAAAATCATTTCGCAAATAATAATTTTGTATTATATTTTTTTTCAAATTTCTCTTTGGAATTATATAAAAATTAAAAATGTTATTTTATGAATACTTATTTATGTGTTTTTTTGAATTTTTAATTAAATATATTTTCTGGATAACAACACAATATATAAGAATTATCTTTTTTTTAAATATATATTTAGATTATGGATAATTCTTATCATTATTATTAATTTAAATCATTTATCTAATCAAATAAGTATTAAATTCATTTTTATTTTTGGCTAATTTATATATTTTATTCATTAAGGGTATAATTGATATTAACCACTCCAACTTTTAACGTGAGAGCTCCGTTGCGAAAAATCACATCGCAAATAATAGTATAGATAGATAGACCACAATTTACAAAAATAAATAAAATGAGTTAGGTCAAAATACCTATGAATACAAATTTTAGTTATGCAGTTGATTAAATGCTTTGACGTAAAGAGTTCAAAACAAACCATACTTGAAGATTAGTGTTGAGCATAGGCAAATGGAACATTGTTGAATGGCCCAAAATTTTTAAAATAATTTATAAACATAGATTCTCAAGATCCAAAAAAAAAAAAAAAAAGATTCTCAAGATTCTCAGTTTTTCATAAAAGTATTTGATTAAAAGGTTTACTAAATAATTTACAACCCCCAAAATCTAAGAAACCATACTCACTAAAGATCAATCGATTTCATAGCCAACTAGCACAACCCTATATCAACTAGAGATTTATTGTATTTATCCCACGACTAAATCGTGAACCCAGTCAGTATTATATTTATTAAGAAAATGGAAGGAAAAAAAGAAACTCTGTATTGTAATGGTTCTTTAAATTTTCTATATATATGTATAGAGATGGCAGTTGTTTAGGTACAGCTTTGTGCAACCAAAAATAATTAAGTTGAGAAGCCGATTGCTAATTGCTACCAGAAACTTTTAGCATGGAGAGTGAAGTTCCGCGTCCACTAGCTGATTTTCCAGTGAACATATGGGAAGATATCTTAAATTCCTTCTCAAAGTCTGATCTCGTACGTATAACCTTTTCATATAGTTTTATGCATTGTTTATATATTTGAGTCCATTGTAGTCGCCTACCGTCATTTGATTCACTCATAATAATTCACTTCCGTACAGGGAACTGATTCACTTAAAGAGAAGCATCTTACTCTAAAGGAGGCTGTGAATGAGTTTTTTATGGCGTCAAGAGCGGATCCAATAGAGAACATCAAGTTCATCGACACGCTCTGTCGCCTTGGTGTCTCCTATCATTTTGAAAAAGATATCACAGAGCAACTGGAGAAGTTGTTTGATTGTCCTGATTTTAATCAGAAGATAAGACAAGACGGTGGTGATTTGTACACGGTTGGAATTGTTTTCCAGGTTTTCAGGCTATTCGGGTTCAAACTTTCTGCTGGTAATTATTTTATTACATAAAACATTTCAAATGGAGTTACATAGATGAAATTTTCTAGAAAGTAATTTGCATGGTTTTGATTTAACGCTTTTTTATATATATGTCTCAAGATGTGTTTAAAAATTTCGAAGACGAGGATGGGAAGTTCAAAGCACACTTAGTGGCAGATGCAAGGGGAATGTTAAGCTTGTATGAAGCTGCACAGTGGAGAACTCCTGGAGAAGACTGTCTTGACAAAGCTCTCGCCTTCTCAAATTCTCATTTGGAAGAAATCTCTTCTCGGTCTAGCTCTCATCTCGCAATACGTATCAAGAACGCCCTAAAACATCCATTTCACAAAGGCATATCGAGGATAGAAACGAGGCAATATATCTCTTACTACGAGGCAGAAGAGAAGTGTGATGCAACATTACTTGAATTTGCAAAGATTGACTTTAATTTGCTGCAAATGCTGCACCGCCAAGAGCTGGCTTGTGTAACAAGGTAACTAACTCGGCAGCTCAACAACATATACGTATTAAGTGTTCAAGGTCATTGACCTTGTTGACCTTTCCATTACTTTTTTTCAGGTGGCACAAAGAAATGGAGTTTGAATCTAAAATAACATACACAAGACATAGAGTAGCCGAGGCCTACTTGTGGGCACTTGGAACATACTTTGAACCTGAATATTCTCAAGCACGAGTTGTATTAGCTATTATAGTCATCTTATACACAGCACTTGATGATGTGTATGATGCGTATGGCACAAAAGAGGAACTTGAGCTCTTCACACATGCATTGGAAAAGTACTCGTTTTGCAAAAACATAATATTTTTTTTTAAATATATAATTTGTATTTTGCTATGTCTGGCTTATATGATATTGATGGCTCTAATACAGGTGGCTTCCCGAAGCCCCTACCGAGATACCTGATAGCATGAAACACTTTTACCGTGTCATAGTAGATTTCTACGAAAAACTCGAGCTGGAGCTTGAGAAGGAAGGAAGGTCAGGCTGTGGTTTCCATCTTAAGAAATCAGTTAAGGCCATAAGAATCAAATTTAAGAATAATTATGTTTTTATAATTTCTGTTTAACTTCATATATTCAGACCTGACTGAATTTTTCATAATCAGTTGAAAGCAACAGCCAATGGATACATGCAAGAGGCAAAGTGGTTGAAAAAGGATTATACTGCTAAGTTTGACGAATACAAAGAGAATGCTATCGTGTCTTCCGGTTACTATGCCATGATGACCGTGACGTTCGCGGGAATGGGAGATGTCGCAAAACTTGATGCTTTTGAATGGTTAAGCTCGCATCCTAAAATTAGGGTAGCATCTGAGGTACTCGCTCGATTCACAGATGACATTACTAGCTACGAGGTGAGCACAAACTATATATTTAAGTATATCAAAATTAAAAGTATACGTATATCATTAAATACATTGATTTTTTTGCAGAGTGTTGAATACATTTGACATATTGATTAATGATTGCAGTTTGAAAGCAAAAGGAAACATGTGGCGACAGGGATTGATTGTTACATGAAGCAATTCGGTGTTTCCAAGGAGCGAGCCGAAGAAGAAATATTCAACATTGTTTCAAATGCATGGAAAGAGTTGAACCAAGAGCTAATGAGGCCTCACTCAGTCAGTTTCTCTTTGTTGATGCCAATTCTTAACCTTTCACGTGTCATCGATGTTTTCTATAGGTACCAAGATGCTTACACCAACCCCGAGTTCTTGAAAGATCACGTCGTCTCTTTGCTCATTGAAAATATTCCCATTTGAGAATGTTGTGGTGGTGGTGGTGACTATACCAATCCATGGAAATTGGATTTGTCACATTACTCAAAATTTCTCTTATTACGGCAGTTGAGCTCTTTCGCGCTCCAACATATGTAATTTGTACCTTTTCAGTCCCCTTCTAAATAAATCTGTATTTCTGCTGTATTTTACTCATGTTGTAAGTTATTTCCATTTTGGCTAGACAATCTTTTTTTTGTTTGTATCTTGGTTTAAAATTATTAAGAATATGGATTTGAAATAGATTAAAAATATGTATACATATATATAATTAGTAATTACGTTTTCTTTTTACATTTCATGAAAAACTGATTTAAGACAAGTATACAAATGACATATTTATGGGTAAGCTGAGTTTTTGATAAACACTATGTAAGTAATATGGAGAGAAATTACTTAAAATAACACATTTTATTACTATTTAGCGAAAATACCTTCATGAAAACATAAGCAAATTTACCATCTATTTTAAATGGGGGGGGGGGAATACCTTCGAAAAATGCTAGAAATATCATAAGTTTATAAATAGTTTATAAAACCTTCCAAATGATTTATATAACATTTTAAACCCCCTTATAAATGTTTAATACACCCTTATAAATGTTTTATAACTTTGGAGTTTGGAGTTGAAGAACACGGCTTATTTGGAGTTTCGTAACAAGTTCGGCAGCGAGTTTGGTAGGGGCAGTTTCACATTAAGGTAGAACGAAACCCAAATCGATTTTGCTTCCTTTGTGCTCTATGATTGTTATTGAGTGTTTATAAGCGTTAATTGTGTATTAGCCCTCTTCAATTATGAGTACTGGAAGTTTCTGATTTGATTCAGTTGCTAGGAGAACACTGTGGATTGTATTTGGCCTTCTTCTCTTATGGGCAGTCCTAAGAATACGCTTCCTAATTTTGGGTTTAATCGATTTTCATAAGAAGTGGAGTAGTTGTTGATTTTAGTTTGCCACAGACTTCTGCTCATAAGTAAGAAGACACATCCTCATGAAGCATATCGATGAAGTCTACTATTTGGTCTGGCCATGCATTCTCGGGACTATACACTAGTAAAATTCTGCCGCATAGCCACGAAGAAGCCACTACAAAACCGTGGCTAAACGGTAAAAACCACGACACAGCCACGCAAGAGCCACGAACTAAAAAAAGCCACGAAACATAAGGAAAAAAGCCACGAAATACCCACGAAATAAATTTGTGGCCAATAAAGCCACGATACCAGCTACGATTTATTCGTGGTAAAGCCCAAAAGTCACGCTTTGGCCACGAAAACTAATAGTGGCATATCATTTTTTCCTGCCGACATAAGAAGCCACGAAGATGCCACAGTTTCATCGTGGCTTTGTTGTGTTTTGGTATTTTGTGCCGACATAGACCGGCTAAAGCGAGTTAATCACGTTTATTTTGTGGCTTTTTCGTGGTTTAAAGGTGATTTTTATCTTAGCCACGGTTTTACAGTGGCTCTGTCGTGGCTCCATTTAATAATCAAACCTACTCGAGGAAAAGATTCAACTCATTCTTCTCTCTCAAAATTTTAAAATACACTATGTCCTTCTACTTTGAATCAAGAGAATGGATGGATGAAAGGTTTGATCCAGGAAGTAATTTTGTTTCTGAAGTCTTCATTGGAGGTATTAATGCATTTCTTCAATTTGCATGTAATCAAGCCGATTATCAAGAAAGGCAAACGTTATTGTGTCCGTGTGCACGATGCAAAA